ATCATCTCAAGATAACCTCAAGATAACCCATGGTGAAACTCCATCTGGACCAACTGCTTTGTTCTTACTTTGCTCCTTGAGCATTTTTTCCACTTCATCTCTAGAGACCTCTATGTGCTCTATGTTGTTCCCTGGAATTCTTATTGTGTCTGGTTCCCTAAAGATTTCATTTTGTACAAACACACTTTGGAACTTTTCGTTAATGTTTCACACATTTCCTTTTCATTTTCCGTGAATCTATTTCCCATTTTCAACCTCTGGATATTATCCTTTACCTGCAATTTGTTGTTTTGAATTTATAGAATAGACCTGGTTCTGTTTTGCATTTGTCTGCAATCCCTTTTTCAAAATTTCTTTCTGCCTCTCTCCTCACTGCCATGTAGTTGTTTCTCACATCTTTGTATCGCTGGTATGTTTGGGGGTTTGGCCTCTTCCTGTATTGATTCCATTTCTGTGTCTTTTGGTCTCTGGCCCTCTCGCAATTTCTATTGAACCAATCCCGTTTCCTAGTTCTACATCTCTCTTTTGGTATAAATGTTGTTGTGCCTTTATCATATATTTCACAAAACTTGACATACATCTCATTCACTTCCTTACCTAGCATCAAGTCTGTCCAATTATACTCACTAAAAAAATTTCTAAGGTGGTTATAATGTCCTCTCCTGAAGTCAGGTTTTTCAACTGCTTCAACCTCCTTATTTTCTTCCAGATTATAACGCATTGCATACTTTATTCCCAAAACGACATGATCTCTTTTACCCAAGGGAGGAAGGTACTGAATGTCAAATATCTTTTCCTCCTTCCTGGTAAGTATCAAATCTAGCATGGAGGGAACGTCCCCTTCCCTCATTCTCGTAGCTTGTTTAACATGTTGATACAAGAATGTTTCCAGGATGAGGTCTACAAATCTACAGGTCCAAAAATCTTCTGTTTTAGCTTCATATGCTTCCCAGTCTATGTATTTCAAGTTGAAGTCACCGACTATCAACAGTCGTGATCTATCGTTATCCGCTCTCGCTTTAATCTCTCTCATTATTGTTATAAGACCTTTGCATTTACTATCTAGCTCCTCCTTTGACCATGTGCTGCTTGGCGGTGGACTATATGCATTCATAATCATTAGTTTATCATCCTCATGGCAGATCTCTAGTGCTATTATGTCAACTTCTTGTGGATTGGCAGTCGTTATTTCTTACACCTTTAGGTGTTCTTTCACCAGCACAGCAACGCCACCGCCTTCCCTAATTTTTCTGTCCCGTCTCCAAATTGAGAAGCCCCTTGGGAATATGACCTCATTTAAAATAACATCTTCAAGTTTTGTCTCTGAGTGCAACAATGTCTGGTGTCTGCAGCTGTATTACATCACTTAACGCCAGTATCTTCGATCTCACTCCATCTATGTTGGTGTATGCAATCTTCAGGAACTTGTTCCCCCTCTCTCTATTGATTTTGTTGGTTTGCCTTTATGTACCACTTTACTGGTCTGCCTACCCCTATCACTTTGTAGAAAAAAGAATTGATTTCTTCTTCATTCCTGCTCTCATTTAAACTTTTTGCCTCGGCGAGGTTCAGTTTCAGCTTCTCTCTGTCTTCTTTTGAAAGATGTCATCTTAATGACCACACTTTCCCATCCTCATCACTTTGTAATTTTCTGGCATTCCTGAGTACTTCTTCCATCTGTTTGGCACCGTTTAGGGTGATCCTCAAAGGTCGATCTTTCCCTTTTACGTATTTGCCTATTCTCCTTTAGTCGCACACATTCTCTATGGTAGCAAGACCTTCTACGAGGTCAACAATTTTATCTAATACTTTCGCTTCTTCTACAGCTCTTTCTGACCTAGATGTTATCTCGTTTTCTTTGCAACCACCAATTCCTTTCTCACTTCCAGCCTAATGTTTGTTTTTCTTGGTTGCTGCAGTGTTTGGCTTCCTTTACTGCTTCTTCAATTTTTTCCTTCTCCTTGGCTACTTGTGCATAGGTGAGTTGCATATCTTTCTTGCACTGTTCTATTCCCTGTGTAACTTCCTCCATCTGTGCTGACAAAAGCTGTTTCTCCTGTTGAATTTCCCTTACCTAACCTATTGTAGTCATTTATGTTTAAATTTACTTTAACTTCTTCCAAAGCTGTTTTCAAGAGTTTATTTTCTTCTTTCATGTCTTTGCATTGTTTCCAATTGATTTTCATCCTTGAGGTTATCTTGAGGTTATCTTGAGATGATTTCGGGGCTTTAGTGTCCCCGCAGCCCGGTCCTCGACCAGGCCTCCACCCCCAGGAAGCAGCCCGTGACAGCTGATTAACACCCAGGTACCTATTTTACTGCTAGGTAACAGGAGCATAGGGTGCAAGAAACTCTGCCCAATGTTTCTCACCGGCGCCTGGGATCGAACCCAGGACCACAGGATCACAAGTCCAGCGTGCTGTCCGCTCGGCCGACCGGCTCCCCTAGAGCCGGTCGGCCCTCCTTGCACAAGTCTTTCACTAAACCCTTTAAGACATAAAACTTTGCTATTCAAATGGTCATTACTTTCCTTCAATTTACTAATTATTTCTACATGAAAGTTCACTATAGTATCTAATTTTACCAACTTGTTATGTAGACTGCTAATATCAATGCTCTCTGCTCTCTTCATTGAATCCCGCAAAATCAAGCTCTGTTTTGTTTTCCTCTTGCCGGCGGCCATCTTGAATGTTCTTCTCTGCACTGGAAACACTAGGGCAACTTTTTCTCATTTGATTTTTCACTTCCCTTAGCACATTCCTGTTATCTCACCTATTTTTCAAAAGCACTATACCTTTATGTTCTCTGGGACACCACTCATCATCATCAACCTGTGCTACAATACTTAGGATTGTTGAAATATGCTGGAGCTCCTCTGATGCAAGTGTTGACCCTAAAGGGTGTCACCTTTTGAATTTTGAATTTGAATGAATTTTGAATTGTGCGGCGCTGGCGGAGATGCTTCGGCTCGCTTTCAGTATTGATGTCACATCTGCGCCATTTCGCAAGCTGTCTCGGGCGTTGTTTCACCTCCGGCCTGCTCCTTCGGTCGGGGTGATTGGTTTATTCGTCTGCAGCCTTCGCCTTCTTTTTTCCGGCGAAGAATGAGACTGCTGCGTTCCTGAGGGGCCCTTGGGTTGTTGATGCTTGGTTGGTTCGGCCGGGGGTGGATCATGTTTTGTGTCCAGTTGCGGCTCTTTATCATTATTTGCGCACCACAGAATATTTGTGTATTCTGTGTCCGTGGATGCGCTTTGGGTTGATCCGGTTTTCCTTCCTCCCTGTTTGAGGGTGCGGGGGTCTCCCAGGTCGTCCACAGGGTTATCAAGTGCTTGCCAGCCTGCGGTCTATCCCCGTGCCCATGATGTCCACAAGTTCGCGACTCTTGCTGCTGTCTTTGGCAATATGTCCTGGGCTGACATTCGGGCACTGGGATTTTGGCGGTGGATTTGGGTCGGCGGATGCAGCCAGTTGTCTCGACTTCGGGTCGAGGAGTGAGCAGCAACTGTCTCACGGGTAAGTCCCTATTCTTTTCCTCTGTGGGTAGTTAGCTCCGGGGAGCCGTAGGGGCTTTCCCCAGAAAACCAGCGTTGAATGTAATGAAATGCCACTTTTGGGTGAGTTCCTGAGGCTCCCCAGCATCCCTCCCTCCTTCCGGTCGGCGTTTTTTCCGCTTGTTTTTGACATCCAGCCTCAGAACTGGGGTGTGGATCGCCGGTGTGGTAGGTCTGGGGCTGCCCCCTTCCCCCTCCCGGGAAGGGGGGGGGGCCTGCACAGACAGCGGCGCGACGACTGATGACATCATACTTGTTTGCTCGTTTTTGTTTGGAGAGTTCTATCCACTCGTTCGGCTTTGGTTGCAATTTTCACCAGACTAGGGGTTTGTTTTGGGATGTCTACCTTTCTGGGTGCCTAACCTGGTCGATGGCAGACATAGAATGCTTCCAATTACACAGGTTTTTTTTATAAGCCATTGCTCCCCTTGCCTCTCTATAGGGGGCCAGGTTCTGGCTCGTGGTCCCCGGTAGGCACATAAGAACTCCATACACATGACTGATGCCAAAGTCTGACATTAGCATAACAGCCTAGTAAGCTCCGGGGAGCCTCCGGGACTCACCCAGAAAATGGTGTTTCATTACATTCAACCCTGTTTTTTTGTATATAGTTATTCAGTTAAATGTCAAGGGTAAGGATGGATGGCTTGTTACAAAATACAGTAACATGAGGAAGACGAGTACACCTTGGAGTATTGATATACAGTATTTGAGGGCTTTGTTCTCAGCCCAGTTTGTTCTTTGTTCTTTGAAGTCAGTCGGGTTTGTTCTCGACTCACTGGTGAGAATTCCGAGTTTGAATCCTGGGCAGGACAGAAATAGTTGGGCACATTTCCTATCACCTAATGCCTTATCCACCTAGCAGTAAATAGGTACCCAGGAGTTAGTCAGCTTGTTGTTGGGGTTGTATCCTAGGGAGGTTCAGTAATTCAACCCTTGGGAAGCGGGAGGGTGGGAATCGATATATAAGCCTTTTCTTAGAATGATTTTGTATCCTACTTCATTATGCCTCTATAAAGGGGGCCAGGTTTTGGCCTCTAGTTCTGGTAGGTTTATTATAACTCACAAGATCTCCATCAAATTGAGGGGGTGAGCTATCCAAGTGGCAAGCAACAAAAAGCCTCCGACCCACTAGAAAGAGGCATTTCATTACTTTCAATGCTGGTTTCTCCTATTGCTTTAGTTGACTGTGTAGATTGTGATAACTATATGATTTTTGTGATTAGTAGTAGTAATGCAACCTAAAACCAGCTACATCTAAACCTCAGTAACTCATACTTAGGGACAAAGGCTATTATTAGGATTGAATGTCATGGTACATGACATTTATTCCTAATAATGATGTCAGGGTACACAGAGGACTGTTCAGATGATAAGAGTGATATAATATATGCAACATTTTTGTCTTGTAGTACAGAGTATCACTTTTAACTTTTACTATTTCAGAATTTGGAGAGTGCCACAGTTAGTAGAAGTCATGCCACTCGTCTCTTAGATGCCACTTTAGAGGCTGCCAAGTGGGATCTCAGTAAAGATCTCATTCGCTTCCTTCGTTCCATTGGTAAGAAGTCTTGCTCAGCTGTAATTTGTGCATGCCTTACCCTAAGTACAGTAAATAAATTATGTGTGTTATAAATGAAATTCATATTAGTCTATTATAAAGACCTTGAAAAGCTTCATAGAAAACACCGACCGCACTTAACCTTCTTAGTATGTTAAGATAAGCATCTTATTGCTCCTTATTTACAATTATTACTTAACCTATCAACGGTATAGGTTAAGTAATAATTGTAATTAAGAAGCAATAAGATGCTTATCTTAACCTTCTTAGTATGTTAAGATAAGCATCTTATTGCTTCTTATTTACAATTATTACTTAACCTATCAACGACATAGGTTAAGTAATAATTATAATTAAGAAGCAATAAGATGCTTATCTTAACATACTAAGAAGGTTAGGTGAGGTCGGTGTTTTCTATGAAGCTTTTCAAGGTAAACTAAAATGTTTACAATCAATTAGTATGTCACGTATGCACTTATTAAATAAGCCAATATTGACTTTAAGCAAGTGCGAGAACGGGTTGCTGGCTGGCAGGCAGGCAGGCTGGCAGGCAGGCAGGCAGGCAGGCAGGCAGGCAGGCAGGCAGGCAGGAAGCAGGCCAGGCTGGCTGGCTGGCTGGCTGGCCGGCCGGCTGGCTGGCCGGCCGGCCGGCAGGCAGGCAGGCAGGCAGGAAAGTAGGCCAGCTGGCAGGCAGGGAGGGAAGGGTAGTCAACCGCGTGACCTTTAAGAGAGAGTATGGGATGTAGGGGGGGGGAGAGATCGGCTCACTCCCAAAGATAAGCATAACACACTTGACCTATTAGCATAATGGCAGGGAGGGAGGCAGGCAGAGAGTGAGGCAGGCTGGATAGCAGGCTGGCTGACAGGCAGGCTGACTGGCTGGAAGGCAGGCTGGAAGGCAGGCTGGCTGGCAGGCAGGCTGGCTGGCTGGCTGGCTGGCAGGCAGGCAGGCTGGCTGGCTGGCTGGCTGGCTGGCAGGCAGGCTTGCTGGCTGACTAGCAGGATGTGCCTGCAGGCTGGCAGGATGTGCCTGCAGGCTGGCAGGATGTTCCTGCAGGCAGGCTGGCTGGCAGGTTGCTCCTGCAGGCTGGCAGGATGTTTCTGCAGGCTGGCAGGATGTTCCTGCAGGCTGGCAGGATGTTCCTGCAGGCTGGCAGGATGTTCCTGCAGGCTGGCAGGTTGCTCCTGCAGGCTGGCAGGATGTTCCTGCAGGCTGGCAGGAAACATCCAGAGGATGTTTGCCAGATGGCTTAATAATCAGCTAGGAACAATTAAGGACTTTTATAAAGCGGATCAGGACTTCACTTATTGGTGAGTACAAACAAAATACAGTCGCATTTATGCTATGAACCTGTCGATTTTTTTCCCCTAGAGTTTGTTCATAAATTTTTCAGACCATTTTCTTTTTACATTTCTAGTTTATTTTTTCCCCTCTATTTCTCTTTACGAACTTACGTGTTAACTGACGGGTCTCGTCCCCAAGGGGTTCGGAAACCAAGTGGTGCTCTGTAGTCCTATCCTGGACCTCCTTTGTTCTCTAGTTTTGTTCTTCTCTAAGGATTGTTTTCTTCGGTGCACTGAGGTCAGCCTTCACAGAAGTGTAACCCAGGCTGTGTTGGCTTCCTTTTGGGTCCGGCATAGCGTCTCCAGTGTCTGGGTGTCCTGCCTGGCTTACACTTTGGATCCTGGTAATCTCATGTGGGTTCTCTGCTTCCGGCACGGAAACATCTGAGGGTTTCCAGGTTGGGGCAAGGTTTAGCTGATTGGGATGTGGTTCGGCCAGCTTCGGGGGTTGCTTCTTCCGAATTGGGCACAAAGGCAGTTGAGTGCGCTAGTCCCGCCGAGCCTTGGGGTTTTTTTCTCCTGTTCCTCCCCCCCCCCACTTTCCCCACCCTTACTTTTCCTGAAGCTTCTACCCAGGACTCTGCTCTTTTGTCCCGGATGTTGACCGTAGACATGGCTCTACCCTGGAGCTGTCGAGTATTGCTTCCAGGGTGTGGTGGGAGTCTAATATGCCTCTTTGATGGACCCTTCTTCTTTTGAGTTGTGATCTGCCTCTATTTATTGGGTGCTTTATGAGGTTGTAGAGTCTACCTGGTTAGTGGACAATCCTTTGTTCTTACTTGAAGCTTCCTGCATCTTTGTCTTACCATCACACCTAAATGGTGTGAGATGTCAACAATTTTGCAGGTGTTCCTGTGAGGCCTTTCTTATGTTCCCCTCAATGATTTCCAATTTGCTCCCACTCTCTTTGGATGTGGGCCTTTGGCAGCTCCATACCTTACTGTTCAGCCTAATGTAGGGTTTTGGCATCTGCTGTAGCTACATTGGCTCCTCTCCCCAAGCTGTACACTACTGTGCTCTAGGAGGAGGTAGCCGTGTTCTTTGCTGACCACCTCGTGTGTTGGTCCAGTTTTGGGATTCACTGGCCTTGCTCTCTAGTCTGCCTTCCCCATCTCTCCTCTCTTTTTCTAGATAGTAGTTTTGCAGTTTTTCCTCCAAGGCTGCTACTTGTAGTCCTATCTTGGACCTCCTTTGTTCTCTGGTTTTGTTCTTGTCCAGGGAGGCGGTTGGGTGCCAACTGGGGGTACCTGCTGTGGGTTCAGGTAGGCATTCTTTGGGGCTAGATTCCGGCTCCATAAGCGCTTCTCCCAGCCGATTCTTCTTCATCCAATTGGTGTCATACTTGCTCTTCACAGGAGTGAAGATTAATATAACATAATACAGGGTACAAAACACAATCGAATCTGCCCATAGTAGGAAAACAGTATGTCAAGGATTTGGGAATAATGATGTCCAACGACCTAACATTTAGGGAACATAACCAAGCAAGGATTACGTCAGCCAGAAAAATGATAGGATGGATTATGAGAACCTTCAAGTCCAGAGATCCCATCACAATGGTTGTACTCTTCAAATCATTTGTGCTGTCCCATCTTGAGTACTGCTCAGTACTCACTTCCCCTTCAGAGCAGGAGAGATTGCTGAAATAGAGGGAATACAGAGAACATATACGGCATGCATAGATGAGATAAAGCACCTAAATTATTGGGATCGTCTTAAAGCTCTCCAAATATACTCACTAAAAAAGGAGACGAGAGAGGTACCAAATAATATACACATGGAAAATACTGGAGGGACAGGTCCCAAATCTGCACAGTAAAATAACAACGTACTGGAGTGAATGATATGGAAGAAAATGCAGAATAGAACCAGTGAAGAGCAGAGGTGCCATAGGCACAATCAGAGAACACTGTTTAAATATCAGAGGTCCGCGTTTGTTCAACGTCCTACCAGCGAGCATAAGAAATATTGCCGGAACAACCGTGGACATCTTCAAGAGAAAACTAGATTGTTTTCTTCAAGGAGTGCCGGACCAACCAGGCTGTGATGGGTATGTGGGCCTGCGAGCTGCTCCAAGCAACAGCCTGGTGGACCAAACTCTCACAAGTCAGGCAGTATTTGGGGAGTAAAAGAACTCCTAGAACCCCATCAAGTAGGTATCAAGCCGGTAATGTGTGAAGAAAATTAGTAGCATATCCACTATCCACTGGTAGTGGATATATGGGCCTGCAGGCTGCTCCAAGCAATAGCCTGTTAGACCAAGTTATCACATGTTAAGCCTGGCCTCAGGCCGGGCTCGGGGAGTAGAAGAACTGTCGAAACCCTCTCCAGGTATGTTCCAGGTAAGATGCCGGCTTCTCGTGGTTTTCCCTTACTTTTGTTGGGTCATCTTGAGAGTGGTTGGCTTCTGGCATGGTCAAAATTACCAGCTCTTCCTAGTTGTAAAATGGGACTTGCTGGACCTTTGGTCCATCCTCGACCTTTAGAGGCCGAGGTTCATTCCTTGCCACATGTTCTGGATGGCCTTATATTAGAGGTAGGCTTCTGGATGATATCCCTGGACCTTCAAGACACATATTGGTACGTCCCTATACATCGAGGTTCAAGGATTGGCTAGGTTTTGTGGTAGGGCACCAGGCTTACCACTTTCAGGTTCTCCTGTTTGGAGAGACTATCTGGTTCCACATGTGTTTCCACACTTAGCTCAAGTCATAATGGCTCATCTTAAGTTGTTGGTTGTTCATGTTTTGGCCTACTTCAATGATGGGCTGGTGTGGGCTCTCAGTTGGTATGTGTGTGTGCTAGCCAAGGAGCTAGTTCTCTCCCAGCATGCCAGGTACAGCCTCCTGGTAAACTGGCAGAACTTCTAGTTGGTTCCATTCCAGGTAAGAACTTGGCTGGTCCTTGTGGGGGAGGGGGGGAGAGACTCAGTCGACTTTACTTTCTGTTCCTCTAGTGGCCTTGACCCGGATGCAGCACATACGTGTGTCTATGCTGAGTCAGCTGTGGTGACATAACAGTTGCTTGAGCAGTTCTTTGGGAGCCTGAACTTGACCTGCATAGCTTTTCCTATGAGCAAAGTGTGGTTTCTGTTCTGGTATCTTCAGTTCAGTCTCTTTTGCATCCGCTGTGATTGTTGGGTGTGGACTCCATTGGCCTTTCACCAGCTGTTGCATTGCCAGCTTCCTCTTTGGGCATTTTTGGGTTTAGTTCCCTGGTGCTTTCCTCCTCCGTCGCTTGACGTCTTCATGAACACCATGATTCTGGGTAGAAGCTTTGTGACCAGCGCTCTCCAAGCCAGCCAGGGCTGTTGGTCTCCTTCCTTTTGTCAGGCTCATAGTACAGTGTGAGAGTTTCTGGCTGTGTGGCATGCATTGTTGAGAAGTTTGGATTCCTCTAGGCTCTGTGCTTCTGTCCCATTTGGACTGTTCCCCTCCTGGTTCATTTCGTCAATTGGGGGGATGGGGGTTCACTTCGGTCCTTTGCCCTTTGGAACTGTATGTTGTGAATGGCTCTTACCGGGTTGTGTGTTTAGTTCTCCACACAGCTCAATTTGGGGAGTGTCCAACATTCTCGCCAATGGTCATATACCTATACTCGTCAATGATTTCGAGAATCAACATCCTCGTGGCCCATTTTTTGACTAGGCCTCCTGGTTGGTGGTCTGGTTGCCAAGACTGTTCGATGCCTGGACCCACAGCCTGATGTATGAACTCTGTCTGGTTGATCAGTTATCCTTGGAACGTGTTTATCAAGTTCTTGAATGAACACTAAGAAGTCTGCCAGTTATGCCCCATTTGTCTAGAGGGAGAGTGTTAAAAAGTCTTGGAGGTGTGGACATTGATCGAGTTTTCTCTCAATGTGCCAATTGCACCTCTGCATTTCAGTGGGACTATTTTGCACATCCTACCATACCTTCTGGTCTCAGGTGGTGTTATTTCTGTGTGTACATTTGCAACCTGTCCTAGGATTTTGTGTGTGTAAATTATTATGTATCTCTCCCATTTGCACTCTAGGGAATACTGATTTAAAGTTTGTATGCAGTCTTAATAGTTTATAAATTTTAGGTGATTTATTGAGTGGGTTCAAGCAATAAAAGATAAATTCATGCTCTCCAGGTTAGCAATTTATCCAGCTTTGAATGGGGCTGTTATTGTGTTATCTTGAGGTTATCTTGAGATGATTTCGGGGCTTTTTAGTGTCCCCGCGGCCCGGTCCTCGACCAGGCCTACACCCCCAGGAAGCAGCCCGTGACAGCTGTCAGGTGAGGTGAGGGAGGGAGGGAGTGGCAGCCAGTGGCAGGCTGCCACTGCCACTCAGCATACCAACTTAGTGGCTCGTTATGGTGAACACGAATGTAGATACTTATATATAGCGTCTGTATATAGTGAATAAAAGCAAAAACAGTATTGTGGGAGGAGAATGTGGGTGAGTCAGGTGACTTGAGGGAGGGAATGAAACAAATGGGCAGAGTTTCTTTCACCCTGATGCTCCTGTTATCTAGCAGTAAATAGGTACCTGGGAGTCAGACAGCTGCTATGGGCTGCTCCTGGGAAATGTGTAACAAAAAGGAGGCCTGGTTGAGGACCAGGCCACGGGGACGCTAAGCCACAAGATCATCTTAAGATTACCTCAAGATAACCTCAATTATTGGGATCATCTCAAAGTTCTCCAAATGTACTCACTAGAAAGAAGACGAGAGAGATATCAAACAATATACATGTGGAAAATACTGTAGGGCCAGTTTCAAAATCTGCACAGTAAAATAACAACATACTGGGAGGGGGGATATGTGGGCCTGCGGACTGCTCCAAGCAACAGCCTGGTGGACCAAGCTCTCTCAAGTTAGTGGCCTCGGGCCGAGCTTGGGGAGTTGAAGAACTCCCAGAACCCCATCAAGCAGGTGGTGAAATGTCACCATTCCCTGTGCTTTGGTGAAGGGGGCCTGGGTCCTGGCTTGGGTCCTTGGTAGGCCATAGAATTCCATGGCTGATGCGACCTGTACATGGAAATAATCTTAGTGTATAGCTTCAGGGAGCTACCAGGGCTCACAGAAATGTGCATTTCATTACATTCAACCCTAATTTTTGTTTGTTTTTTTATTTGTAGATCCAACAGACTTGGACTCACCCAAGCCATCTTTGCCATCATGTGGGAGCACTAAGGTGGGCTTCAGTCATGCTACACCCCCAGTGTCCCCTGCATGTGCTGATGAGGACCTCTCTATGATCCTCCCCAACACCCAGGTATTAAGTTATTTATCTTTTCTTGTAATTAACCCTCAAACCGCTAGGGGCCCAAATGGAATTCACACCCACACGCGCAACAAAAAAAAAAAAATCCAAAAATTCTTTCGTCTTATAGAAGTGTTCATTTTTGTTCCCTGATCACGGAAAAAATAAGAAAAAAAATCGTAGGTGGCATATTTTAGCCGCAATAGGGTAGGGAAGTGTGGCAAAAAAGGGGCGTTGGCAGAGCCTTCGCCAGACGAGGTCTACTCCGCCCGAGCTGTCAGACGGTAGTTGCCACAAATATATTATTACCTAATTATTTCAATGTCTCTGATTGATTTTTTCTTAGTTTTTTTGCAGTAATATTATTCCATACAGTGAATTGTGGTATATTTATATTATAAAATGTGTGAACCATCGCTGTACTCAAAATTATGGTGTGCATATTAGTGATTCAATTATTATGTTCATAAAACAATAAACAAATAGTTTTGCTGTTGTTACACTATATACACAGGTTATATATAAGTATCTGCATGTTTTGTACACCATAACGAACTACTAAGTTGGTCTTGTGAATCAAAAAGCAACGAGGAGTGACCGCCAAACACCAGCGAGCCACTCACTGCCACTCCCTCCCTCAACACCACCTCACTCACCCTCATTCACCTCCCACAATACTGTTTCTGTATTTATTCACTATACACAGACGTTATATATACGTATTTACATGTTTTGTTCACCATAACTGTACATCTAAGCTTGTATGGTGAGTAAAGGCACAAAGACGTAGGACCTCACACAGTCAACTGATCGGCGGCCGCCCTCAAGGCCAGACGCACTAATATTTGTCCTCCAACAATATTGTTTGTGGTGTTATTACGCTATATACACACATTATATATGAGTATCTACCTGTTTTATTCACCATACCTGTACAAATAAGCTGGTATGGTGCCCAAAGACCATAGTGTCCATCAGTAAACAACATGCCAAGTCGTGCAGACAACGCTCCTCCCTCACCAAAATGGCGGCTCCCAACCTACTCCTCTCGCTGTTATCACACTCTACACACACGTTATATATAAGTATCTACATTTGTGTTCACCATAGCGAACCACTAAGCTGGTATGGTGAGTGCAGTCAATAAATGGTGGCCACACAGTCAGAAAACGACGCCACAACCCTCCCTCCACAGCCTTACTCCTCCCTCCATGGAGCACAGCGCTAAATATCACCACAATCCTGCTATTATCAGTATCCTGGTCAGTTTTATCACAGTCAGGGGGCTTCAGTAATACTATCACTGCTAAATAATAGCAGTATCATTTATATTATGGTATTTGTAGGCGATGCTGTGGTCACAAGCTGAACAGCGGTGCTGTGAGCTCGTGCTGCGTGCGCCAGCCTTGGTGGCTTGCTCAATACTGACGCTGTAACACCCAAGAATGTTGGCCTGGATTTTTTTTCTAGGTGGCATCTGGCAACTATCGGTCGTGGCTGTACTATAGATGCCCCTATCCCAGGCGGGGCGTTTAAATTATAGCGCTAGACACGAAATCATATATAAATGATGTGCGCGGTTTCGGTTTTGTCACTGATATCATTTATATATGATATGCACGGTTTGAGGGTTAACCTGATGCCTTTCCTTTTGGTCAGTTGTTATTGACTCAAATTTAAAACATGAACAATATTATCTTTAATAATGAAAATCAACATAAAATGAAAACCACATTACCCAGGGATAATTGAACTTTAACCCTTAAATGGCGCAATACATACATTTACAATGGGAGTAACTGTGACGGAATGGTGCACATTGCACATATACGATTGAGGGTCTAGCGCACGATTTTAAATGCCCCGCAAGGGATACGGGCAGCTATAGTACAGCCATGACCGATAGTAACAGACGTCATCTTTGAAAAAAATCACGGGTAACATTCCTGGGTGTGAGAGCCTCAGTAATGAGTGAGCAACCAAGGCTGGTGTACGCAACATGAGCTAACAGCACTGTTGTTCAGCTTGTGAACACAGCATCGCCTAAATATGTAACAATATATATGAACCTATTATTATTTAGCAATTATAGTATTAAGAGAAGACTCCCCTGACTGTGATAAAAATGACCAGAATTCTGATAATAGCAGGATTGTGGTGATAATTAGTCCTGTGCTCTATTTACACACAAGTTATATACAAGTACTGTATCTACATTTGTGTTCACCATTAACGAGCCACTAAGCTGGTATCATGAGTCTAAACAATAAAAGGTGGCCACAAAGAGTCAGAAGACGACGCCACCTCCCTCCCTCCCTCAGCATTACTCCTCCCACCTATACCTACTTGATGGAATTCTGGGAGTTCTTGGGGAGTAGAAGAACTCCCAGAACACCATCAGGCTGGTATCAAGCAGGTATGGGTGGGAGGAGTAGTGCTGAGGGAGGGAGGGAGGTGACGGCGTCTTCTGACTCTTTATTGCCACCTTTTATTGTCTGGACTCGCCATACCAGCTTAGTGGTTCGTTATGGTGAACACAAATGTAGATACTTGTATATAACATGTCTATAGAGTGTAATAACAGCAATAGGAGTATGTTGGGACCAGCCATTTTGGTGAGGGAGGTGGCATCATCTGCATGACATGTCATGCTGTGTACTGGTGGCCACTATGTCCTTTGGGCACCATACCAGCTTAGTTGTACAGTTATGGTGAATAAAACATGTAGATACTTATATATATATTGTGTGTGTATATAGTGTAATAACACCACAATTGGTGGTGTACAAATATATTGTTGGTGGAGAAATGTTAGTGCGTCTGGCCTTGAACCAGTGAGGGAGGCAGCTGTCAGTTAAGTGTGGGGCCACCTCTCTTACTGCCGTAACTCATCATACCAACTTAGTTGTACAGTTATGGCGAACAAAACTTATAGATACTTATATATGATATCTGTATATAGTGAATAAAAGTAAAAACAGTATGGTGGGAGGAGGAATGATGGCAAGTGAGGTGTTGTTCAAAGAGGGAGTGATGGCAAGTGGCTGGCTGGTGTGTGGAGGTCACTCCTTGTTGGTATCACTCACAATACCAACTTAGTGGTTCGTTATGGTGACCAAAACATGCAAATACTTATATATAACCTGTGTATATAGTATAATAATTGCAAAACTATTTGTTTATTGTTTTATGAACATATTAATTACATCACTATTATGCACACATAATTTTGATTATAGTGATGGTTCACACATTTTATTACATAAATATATCACACTGCACACTATTGAATAATATTACTGCAAAAAAAAAAACTAAGAAAAATCAGTGAGAGACATGGAAATAATTAAGTAATACAGTATCCACTCAATTTAACAGCCTATATGGGGCTGTACCCTGGTCGTTATTTCCGGAGTTCTGGTATTTCCGAAGTTAAGATGTCGGTAATTTTTCAAGTAACATTCAGGTAGGATATACTTTATACTGTATAACAAGTGGACCACACAACAAGTGAACCATATAAACCAAACACCTCCTTCCCTCCCCTCCCTCAATGTCTTCCATCCCCTCCCTCAATGTCTTCCATCCCCTCCCTCAATGTCTTCCATCCCCTCCCTCAATGTCTTCCATTCCCTCCCTCATTATCTTCCATCCCCTCCCTCAATGCCTTCCATCCCCTCCCTCATTATCTTCCATCCCCTCCCTCAATGTCTTCCATCCCCTCCCTCAATGTCTTCCATCCCCTCCCTCATTATCTTCCATCCCCTCCCTCAATGTCTTCCATCCCCTCCCTCATTATCTTCCCTCCCCTCCCTCAATGTCTTCCATCCCCTCCCTCATTATCTTCCATCCCCTCCCTCAATGTCTTCCATCCCCTCCCTCATTATCTTCCCTCCCCTCCCTCAATGTCTTCCATCCCCTCCCTCAATGTCTTCCATCCCCTCCCTCAATATCTTCCATCCCCTCCCTCATTATCTTCCATCCCCTCCCTCAATGTCTTCCATCCCCTCCCTCATTATCTTCCATCCCCTCCCTCAATACCTTCCATCCCCTCCCTCATTATCTTCCATCCCCTCCCTCAATGTCTTCCATCCCCTCCCTCAATGTCTTCCATCCCCTCCCTCAATGTCTTCCATCCCCTCCCTCAATGTCTTCCATTCCCTCCCTCATTATCTTCCATCCCCTCCCTCAATACCTTCCATCCCCTCCCTCAATGTCTTCCATCCCCTCCCTCAATGTCTTCCATTCCCTCCCTCATTATCTTCCATCCCTTCCCTCAATACCTTCCATCCCCTCCCTCATTATCTTCCATCCCCTCCCTCAATGTCTTCCATTCTCTCCCTCATTATCTTCCCTCCCCTCCCTCAATGTCTTCCATTCTCTCCCTCATTATCTTCCCTCCCCTCCCTTAATGTCTTCCATCCCCTCCCTCAATGTCTTCCATCCCCTCCCTCAATGTCTTCCATCCCCTCCCTCAATGTCTTCCATCCCCTCCCTCAATACCTTCCATCCCCTCCCTCATTATCTTCCATCCCCTCCCTCAATGTCTTCCATCCCCTCCCTCATTATCTTCCCTCCCCTCCCTCAATGTCTTCCATCCCCTCCCTCATTATCTTCCATCCCCTCCCTCAATGTCTTCCATCCCCTCCCTCATTATCTTCCCTCCCCTCCCTCAATGTCTTCCATCCCCTCCCTCAATGTCTTCCATCCCCTCCATCAATGTCTTCCATCCCCTCCCTCAATACCTTCCATCCCCTCCCTCATTATCTTCCATCCCCTCCCTCAATGTCTTCCATCCCCTCCCTCATTATCTTCCATCCCCTCCCTCAATACCTTCCATCCCCTCCCTCATTATCTTCCATCCCCTCCCTCAATGTCTTCCATCCCCTCCCTCAATGTCTTCCATCCCCTCCCTCAATGTCTTCCAACCCCTCCCTCAATGTCTTCCATTCCCTCCCTCATTATCTTCCATCCCCTCCCTCAATACCTTCCATCCCCTCCCTCATTATCTT